TGCACAGAAAAATATAGAAGAAAATACATTGCATGTCAACTGCTAGGATTATGGGCATTAAAAGCCCTTATAGTTCTACCATTAAAAATCTATTACTCTTTATATTTGGAAAAAATTTTTCCAAATTTTTTACAATGATCAAAAACTTTTTAGACTCTGATAATCTGCAAAAAATTACTTAGAAAAAGAAGAGTAAAAATCTTATGAGTCAGTTTGTCCTCCCAAACTTCTCAGAATAGAGAGAAAAATGGAAAGCCTTGGTCGTAGTTTCCTTGAGGCTAGGAACATGGCTGTCCCTTGGCAGGCAGGGCTCGGTTCTGTGGTGTCAGTGATAGACGGGCCTGGTTTGGCCGAAAGGGTAGTGGAACAGAGAGGGCTCAGCTGGCTTCTCTCCCTCTGTCCCCTTCTTGACTCACTCAGCATATGTTCTGCTAATTAAAGGAAGTTTCTTGATATCCATTTTTAAAATTCTAATTGTAGGTGAATTTGACAGACAAGAAGATGACATTCACTTAGTGACATTATGTGTGACAGGTAAGTTCTGCCATCTTTCCTAAAACCAAGCAGTAGATTTCAGGAATGTTTCGCCCTTCTCCCTAAAGCTGGACGTAGCATCAGTTACCTGTCATAGAAGACACAGCTTGTCAGTGCTTCGCTGACTTTTGTTCTGGCTTTTCCCCTCTGCTAGAATGGCCTTCTGCTCCTTCCCTGTTCAGCCTCAGTTGATATGCTAACCCACTTCAGTGCAATGCATCTTTTCTTCCTTGGGATTTTTAGAAGCCTTCTCTGTACTCCCAGGCAAGAGAAGGGACCAGACCCCAGAGAGGAGCTGCCACCTTGTGTGGCAGACTGCCAAGTGTATAGATGGCTGGGAGGCACTAACTCGAAGCGACAGATTGTTCAGTATAAATTCAAGTGCTCTGGGACTCAGTGGGTAAACAGGAAAACTGTCCCTTTCATTGTGTGTGGGTTTTTTGTTTGTTTTTGTTTTTTTGTGTGTATGTGTGAGGTTCCTTCTTGGCCTCTGTTAATACAAAATGAAAACATTTAGTATTTCTTAAAAATTGGATCTTAAAAAGGTTTTTTTTATTTGTTAGAATTAAATGACCGGGAAGAAAATGAAAACCACTTTCCAATAATTTATGGCATTGGTAAGTAATGTGTTTATTTGAGGGCTGGGGGCTGGTCACAGGCTGATAAGGCAGGCTCCAGTTAAAGGCCGATTCCCAAACTAGTGGGCCCGCTGTCGTCAGTATGTCACAGCCTTAGGTTCAAATCCTGGCTCCTCTCTGTGTTTGCTGGGGGATCCTGGGCAAGTAGCTTACCTTCTCTAACCACTGTCTACAAAATAGAGAAACTGTCCACTGTCCACCTCCTAAGACTGGGAAGAGAAAACAGGGTAGCGAATATCAAGTATAGACAGTGCTGAGTTGCACTCTGCTCTCCCAAGGTGGCCAGCTGGGATGGGCGGGGCATTTGAATCTTATACATAGGGAGCCAAGTAAGGTTTTAATTGAGAACAAGGATCCTATAAAGATAAAGTGTAAAACTATCAGGCTGAAGAAAACCCAGAACCACCTTCCCTCCTGTGACGGCCCCCCAAGGATATAGTAGGATGAAATTGGCTGTATTTGCAGAGAGCTTCTACCATGTCTGTAGTATTTTATTTAGCTGGATGGTGGGTACAAAGGTATTTGTTATTTTATTCTCTATACCTTTGTATATATCTGAAATACTTTGTAGAAATGATAACAAACAAAAACACCTGATTTGGCCGTGATCACAGCCTACAGCCTCCCTTTTCTCCCCAGCAACTCGCAGATGTGTTTGGTCACAGGGCTGGCCAGGGAGCCTTGCCACATATTTGCCTGGAGAGAGGGCACACTTCCCACACGGGGCCACTTCTCGAAGTCTTACCTAGTGCAGCTCAGACCTCAGCTCTATTTTCAGTGAGATGCTTGGCTAAAAGACTGAGTCTTCCCTTTCCCGGAAGGGGGCAAGCTACAGCACTTAGTAGTAATTTTGTTCAATTTCCATTCTGTTGTGTCTCCGAGATAGACTTATCCATGTTTTGTTACGTGTGGTGGTAGAAATGTAGGACTGCACACTTTCCATTTTTGTCTTTTGTCAACTCACAGTCACCCTGTCGTCTCTCACAGCTGTCGATGTTAGAACCGCAGAGGTGTACCGGGCCTCCTTCCCAGATCGTGGTCCAGAGGAGGAGCTGCGAGCTGCTCGAGCTTTAACAGGAGGGCCGGTGAGTCTGGAGTCATCTTTGTGATAAGGGATTAAGGGGTAAAAAGGCATCAAACTCCAAAGCCTCAAGTGTTATAGACCTTAGAAATGGAAAGTTCATGTCAGCTGCTTTAAACTGTAAATCTCCAGGGACCACCACATACCCGTCTCCCTGTCCCTCTCACACTCCCTCCCTCCCTTCCATCCCCCGCTCCCCCGACCCAAATAACAAATGCTTTTAGGTTATAAGCTCAAGACCCCAGTTCTCTGCCTGGAAGGTGTAGGGAGAAGTAATGTGAATCCCTAGCATCCGATTCGTAGAGAATGAGCCCCTTTTACTTCGTAAAAATTTTTCCTGTAAAGTTCCTACAAAAAAGGGAGACCCTGGTAGGGGAGAGAGGGTTCTCCCCCTGCATCTTGGACAGTACACTCCTCTGGACCCAGTCACTGAAGAGCAACTTGCTGGAACCCAAAAGAATGATCAAATCAATTTGAAAGTCTCATTGCCTTAGGTGCTTTTTAATTACATAACATCTTAATTTTAAAAGTTAGAAAAAAGACCTAAGACTTACATGGCTATTTGAGGAATGGGTGAAACAATCCTTTAAAAAGGCTTTTAGTATTAAAAACAAATTGCATTCAGAGCACGCAGAAGAAATATCACTTATGAAATTGACATTTTCATTGGAAAATGTTTGGATTCAGAATGTTTTGCCAGTCCTTTAACATTTTTAGGATTCCTTTTGCTGTTCTCAAGTAGCACAATAGCCTTGACTTAGCTAATATTCAGAACATATTTCAATCTCAGTTACCAAAATAGAATGTTGCTGGTTAAGCTGAGAATGACCATTGGCAAATTTGGGAATTTGGGGAATTGATCATTTGGTAAATTAGCATTTTTACAAGCTGTTTTTCCATTATATTGATGGGGAAACAGGCATGGTATACTTTTTTAGTTGTAAGGTAATTAATTATCCGTTAGTATAAGGAGGCACATGGGTTTCAGTCAAACACACCTGGGTGTGAGGCCAGCTCTGCTGCTTACTGGAAACGTGACCGTGGGCATTATGCCCCGTCTCTCTCTGAGCCTCAGGCTTTCACACAAAGGGAGAAAAATGCCATCTTCCTGCAGTATTGTTGTCAGGACTAAACAAAATAATTTATGTTACCCACAAAGTGCAGTACCAGACAATTGGAAATATTCAGTAAGTAGCAGCTTTGTTATTAGACAAAATTTTAAAGCAGCTTATCATCCAGATAAATGCCTTAACTGCTAGACTACACCGGTGCCTGCTTTAATGGGAGGGTTCGAAAAGCTGATAGCATTCCTTAAATTCTACCCTTGAAATGTTCTTTTTCAGATGATTAGTATTTACGATGCAAAGAAAGAACAACTTCAAATAGGACCGTATTCCTGGACACCATTTCCACATGTGGATTTCTGGTTGCAGCAAGATGATAAGGAAATACTAGAGGTGAGAATTTACTGGTTGAACAAATCTTAAATCTCTGGACCCTGGTCTCCACATCTGTAAGAAAAAGAAAGGTTTAGACTAAATAATAGCTGCTTTTCCTTCAGTGAGTAGTATTCATTTTTAGGATGCCACTGACAGGTCCCATTTAACTCCCGTGTCAACTGGGGATGAGTAATATCCTGGATAGACACCTGCATAGATGAAGCAGTAAGCAACCAACTGCTTTTGTCTCATTCACCCAGTATACCTCAGTTCTTATATAATGTTTCAATTCATATATATTTATATAGTGATCTGAGAACATCCCGATTAATGTTTAAGGAACACAAAAGTAGTCATCTTTAAAAGTGGGGAAATGGGCAAGGTTATTCTCTCATGCCCCAAATCTTGTTTTTCCAGAACCTTTCCACTTCACCTCTGGCCGAGCCCCCCCACTTTGTTGAACATATTAGATCTACCTTGATGTTTTTAAAAAAATACCCATCTCCAACAAAGACGCTGTTTCCTGGAAATAAAGCTCTACTCTACAAAAAAAATGAAGATGGTTTATGGGAAAAGATCTCTCCTCCAGGAAGTTAAAAATAGGAATTACCAAAGAAAGCAACTTTTTGGCAAGACAGAGACCACTGGTGGGGTTGGAGAGAACGTGAATTTGGAATCTACATCCGTTGAGTCTTAGGTCTCCTTCCTTACTCAGTGTCTTTCAAGTGACTTTCAAAATAAAACTTTATTTTGGCAAAGGCACTGGTTTACTTTTTGCTTTTCTGAAAAGGTGACGTCCAGCTTTTCTTTTTTGGTCAGTAATAAGGGGCAGAGGAGAAGCCACCTGCCTTCACTATCCTATAACAGCTACTCCAGTTACTTAGGTATATCTAGTTCTGCAAGTTAGTGAATAAAGGAAAAATGATGGTAATTTTGTTTAAAAAACATTTAAAATGCACTCAAGTTCAGTGAGAATTTATACATCTCACAGAGGGTTTTTTTGGCCCCCAAATATTTTAGAAGCATGAAATCCAAAACTGAGATATGTACTTCTAGATATGAATGAGGTAAAAGGTTCAGAAAGACAAACGGAGTTTGATCTCACAGCCATATAATTACCTCTAAAATAATCTCTCATGAGGCTAAATTTAATTTGAGTTATACGAAGGTGTAAGTTCATTAAAATGCCCAAATTGTGATTATTATGCAAGTTATATTTTTAGAAACCTTTATTTTTTTTGAAGTTGCTGTCCAAAAGGATGTCACCATGCCTGATTAATAGTAATATTTATGAAGTGAACTCACCGGTAACAATTTTGAGAACCTTTATTGAAACCAACATTCAAATAGTATCTCAAGGGTGAAATTCTGTTTCAGCAAAACCAATTTAACAATTTATATGTAAAAACATTTAAAAATTAATCTTGTTAAAGGTGATAATTTCCCCTCCCCCCATCTGCTGTACTTCATCGCACCAAATAAACAAGGAAGACTTTGTTTAATCATCTGCACCAAAAAGAAAATGAAAAAAGGAAATACATTTTGACAAAAGTCAAAAGTCAGAAATCACATCAAATCAGAGTGTAATTATTGGCTTAATGTGGTATAACTAAGGCTTCCAGTCCTTCAGTCCACAAACGCAGTGTGAACTCCCACCATTTCAGGGTCCCTCAAGCTCAGCTCTGCTGGCCTGGCAGGCACTGGGTGTCACCTGTGGTGAAGGAAGGGCAGCCGGACTTGTGGAAGCGCAGACTCGGGCCGTCATTAAGGGCCAGCTTCCAGTGACTTCAGCAGTAGTCTGGCGTGGTCGGCCTAAGGAAGATTACTTTTCTGGTTCTTGTTTCTGAGTTGGGCCCAAAGGGGTGAGCTGCTAGTGGAACAGAAGCTATGAAGCTCCCACGTGAAACAGGTCAAAGGTATACTCACTTTAGAATTTAACTGGGTCCTACAGCATATTTAACATTATATTCCTAAGAGTAGTATCCATTGGGTTTTCAGATATTAAACATAGAAATAAGCACAGTTTCTTCTTCTGTGCCAATTTAAAAGCTTTACCAATATTTAAAAATATACATATACATATGGTCAATGAGAGTTTTTATAGTTACTCTTAATAGATGAGTCCTTTAATTTTTTTACAAATAGTATATAAAGGGAGAAATGGATTTGCGGCAGAGGGCGGCCACAGACACACTGCCCTGTCTAACTTGCTAGCCAGCCTGCCACAGCATGAGTGGACACAGCCCTTCCTCACGTCTTGAGGGAAAGCAGCAGTTGGGGATGGTGGAAAAGGGCTTCTGACACTTGTGTACAATCCCACTGAAACTCCTCCTTCAAGCCCACACAGTCCAGTTGTATACTGCAACCTGATCAAACTAAACAAATAAAATGGATGGCAAACGATGCCGTCTTGTCTGCAGCAGTCCAAAAGAACCCAGAGAGGTCTAAAGAAAGCTGTCTTACCGAAAAGTTACCATGTGCAACCTAGCAACTTCTTACACTTACGTTTACACAGATAAGAGCAAGTGTTTCAAGTGGCGGGCACTTGAAATTCTGAGTGTTCTTTGTGAATAAAAAGTGTTTATGGTATGTTGGGGAGGAATGTATTACTACAGTTGGGTAGACAGAAACAGTTGTTGTTGTTCTCTGTACCCATAAAATTAGACAAGTCAATTACCCTCCAAGAAAGCCTGGCTTTCAGGCACATATTTGTGCAAAAATCCCAGCTAAGCACAAATAACAGTAATTTCTCTTGTATCAGCATGTGGCACAGTTCACATTTTCAGTATAACTTCATCTTCCCTGAAACAATACTCAGTACAGTCTCAAACCAAACACTGAATTTTATCTTAAGCTTTCTGGTTCTTCCACCTGTGGATGGTTGTCTTCTGGGCGCTGGGCCCTGTTCTGGAAGCTTCCAGTCTGCTCGGCTTCCTGAGGGGTGGGAGCTCCTGGGTGCTGCTCAGGGCTGTTAGCCTCCAGGGCCTCCTGTTCTGGCCCCTCAGACAGGTGCTCCATCTTTTCTAAGTCTTCAATGTGACTGACGGAGCTTGTCTCACTTAGAGCATCTGAACCTCTTAGGGACCTTTTAAAAGGCTTCTGGCCTAGAGAGAGATGGAACGAAAAAGTTTGGTAAAGGGCACTTCCACAACAAAGCTCTCTGTAGAAGAGATCACTTTTTTAAATTCTAACTGCTTCAGCCAAATCCCCAGAATTACTGGCTCTGAGACACTCAGTGCAGAGGTAAGAAATGAGAGTTGATGTGACAGTAACATGCTCCCAAGGCTGGGAACTTTCGAGGTCATCTTAATCAGGAGAGTAAACACCAGGTCAAATGTGATGCCAGCTTGCAAGACCCTAACTTCCCCTCTGGAGCGCTCCAGAGGTATTCCTCCAAGGCTACTGGAATGGTTATTTGAAGGGACAGCTGGGCTTATCTGAAGAGAAATAGGACTTTTGGGTTAAAGAACCAAGAAAACAAGAAATGCAGGTGATACCAAATGGGAAAACCATTACATGAGGCCAAAGTCTACTTTCCCAGGGGAAAACACGACCAGTTTCCTTTCGTGTTAGTAACTCAGACACGGCGCTGTACTGTACCTGGAAGTCTCTGTTTCGTGCGACTGCCTGATGGGGTCTGAGGTGGTGTTACTCCTGTCCCTTGTACTTTGTAGACATACGTGTGTTCTGTGGACTCGAGAGAGCCTGCCGGGAAGAGACAGGGGTGGGCGGGAGCTCTGGCACAGGCTGTCCTGCGCGATGCCCCCACTCAGCCTTGTTCCCTAATGAGCTTCCTCCAGCCACATAGTCTTGCATAGACCAGTGGGGACGGGACGTCAGTGCTCCTGGAGTGCCATCTTGCAGCTGTGCTCATGAGTCCCGCCGCTGCTGTCTCCCCAGGTATCCCACATACCTGTGAAAACACTCCGCCAGCAGTGTGGCCCAAGTATGCCTAGAGAGCCAGGCCCAAGTGGGACATGTACTTTAGCCAATGAGGCACAGATGCCTCGTGGTTAAAGGCCGAGGTGGGGCAGGTTAAAAGATTATCTCTGGCTGTCCTATGACAACATTGTCACCAAAGGTAGGGGCCCCATGTTGATGGCATTATGTCCCTAGTAGAACAGGAAAGGAAAAATCCTGTAGTTGACATCATCTTCCCCAAACCCCAGCAACTGGTAATATTTGCCAGCTGCCTGGTCAGAAACCCAGTGGTCCAGTGCGACAGACCAGTCATAACTGCCCCTTTCAAAGGCAGTTGCTGGGCGACACTGGTGAGCACTGCAAGGAACATCAACACTGAACCATGATGTCCAAGACGCACCGTCTCGAGGGTCTGAACAGCTGCGTGAACACATTCTCCTTGGACTCCGGGAAGCGGAGTCTGCTGGGGGCAACGAGTACCTGCTTTCGAGCCATTTTGGCTGTGCAGGCAGGAGAGGGACGACGAGAGTCACAGTGCTGGGATAGAGTGGGGACGTGTACAGGCTTCTCAGCACTAGGGTGGGTGCTCAGGGCATACGGTCAAACCCGAGGTACATAAGATCTGGGAGGAGGCTGTCCGTCCTACCTGCCGTCAAGTTGAAAGTTCTTCCCTTCTGTGAAGGCTGGACCGGAGAGAACCAATTCAGCACGGATCCTACAACGGGGATCTGCCGCAACACGCCCTGCGGAACAAACGCTCAGCATCGCCTGGTCCAGGCCGCTCCCAGCCCGAGCCAGCCGCGCCTACGCAGGGGACTCACCTCTTCCCGGAGGCGCTCCTCACTGGCCTTCTGCAGCTGAACCTGAGCTTCCTGAATTCCTTTCCGAACCACTTCTGTCATGTTTTCCAGAAGCTGTGTTAAGAACAAGAAAGAAAGGCATTACTTGTCTCAGCCTCTTGCCCAGGACCTATTAACACAGCACTGGAGACGGTTTTCAACAGTCTGTTAGCAAGTAGCATTCTGTACTTTAAAACATCACTGTAAAAAAAAAAAAAAAAAAAAACAGGATGAAATGCTCAAAGAGGCCTAGGCAGACTTATCTTGGTGACCAGCCTCATAAGCCAGGGAACACAGAGGAGAAATAATTGTCCCTACAATCTGAATGTCAGATCAACAGAAAATAGACACACCGCTCCACATGCACGGCATGAGCCAGAAGTGACAGTCAGGTTTGAAAGAAACTTCAAGAAGTGTACCCGTGAATAAATAAGCTGGCTGCTCAGCCCCAGTTCAAGCTTCCTTTTCTCCTCCAACCCACCCAAAGTGAATCATGTGCCACGTGTCTGTCTTTCCTCTCAGATCAGTCTTGCTTGGACCCTTTTCTCTCTTTTGGAGTGATTTCTAATGACCTGAATATCTGGTTTGGAGAACCAACTTTAAGCCTCCCAGCCTGGTCCTCCAGGCTGACTGGCCAGTAGGAGCGCGTCTGTTACTGGCGGAAGTTCTGTTACTAGAAACACCTGTCTCATTCAGCTCAGGACCCAGCTTCCCCCAGGAAGTCTCTACGGACCCTGTCAAACAGCAAGTGTGCCTTCCTGAATGCTTGGCTGCCCCCACCTTCTAACCAGAGCACCAACCACCTCACTGGGCCACATGCATCAATCCCCCCGCTGGCCTGTGGGGTCCCTGAGGGCAGGGAC